AATTTTTCTTTCTGTGCAAGAATTGTTGACACAGTTGATGTCGACATGCCATATTCTTTGCATAGCGCATTTGTTCTAATGCCTTCTTCATGTTTTTTTATAATTTCCTGCTTAATTTGGATTGAAATCGCTTTTCTTGATCTCTTAGGCCCCATGTTGGATTCAAACAATCTCAACATGTGATATTTTAAGTTTAAACTTGCTGTAAATAAAGAATATTTTCTTTAAAATAACACTGCACTGCACTATATATTGTCAATATGTAAAATAAATTTCAAAATGACCAATAACGATAATTAATTGGCTTGGAAACACAGAAAAAAAGCAATTAGTTGAAGAGAGTCTCAAGCAAGATGTTACCTCCACTGAAACGACACAGAGACTGACGCCTGTTTGGTGTGTTGACAGGCTATTTGGCGTGCATAAAACTAGTTTCCTTTACTTCAATTATGTTCAATAATTGTTAAAATGACTAAAAAATTTAATATTAAACTTTTAAAATTATTGAATAGTATAAACTTTTTGATATTTACTAAAATAGTAAGGAATTTAAGCCCTAGAACCGATTACTGTATTGGCGGACTAATACTACAGCTGGTGGTCCGCCAAATGCAAGCGAAAACATGTTGAGGTCGGCCCGTAAGAAACTTGTTAATTGAGGGATTGCTCGTTAACCGAAGTTAAGAGTCTTATGGAAGGTAACTCTTTAACCGAAACCTCGTTAACCGAGGTGCTTGTTAACCGAGGGACCACTGTACAGGGAACTAGTTTTTGGTGCTCCCATCAGCCACTAAACTCACCCACCAAGGCCTCAGTTTGTATCTCTGTTCAGTGGAGGAAACGTCGTGCTTGTGGGTCTCTTGAACACAGTATTTTTACGTTTTTACAGTACAATTATTGGTCATTCTGAAATTTATTTATATTGACAATACAGTATAGTCTGCATTTACGCGGTAAATTGAACCCGTGGAGGCCCGCGTAAAACGAGAAACGCGTAAATGAAATAACAGAACATATGGGATTAGTTGAAATAGAGACTGGGCCGACCCCCAAACTCCACATTTTCCGACACAATACGTACGTTGTAGTAAAAATAACATCTTAATTTTATGATGGTATGCACACACAATTAATAATTAAGAGAAATATCAATAATATTAGGTTTTTTAACACTTACGTTAGTAGAAAAGCTGGGTCGGCACACGAGGCAGAGGGCAGATTAGTTGCCCTCCGGTGATTCACTTTCACTACTCGCAGAGGTTTGCAGGGCCTCCCAGACAAACCCCTCAAAGTCCATATCCTCACTGTCAATATCACTATCACTGACTTGGGCGAGGAAGTCCTCAATACTACGTTGACGACTAGCATTGATGTTGTCGAGATAGATGTGGTAGTAGGTAGTAGGTAGCTACCAAACAGGGAGGTACTACCACCTGGGAAGATATTGGAAGCATAATGTGTTGTCTAATGGTAGACCCTGCTGCCATATGGCATCACAAAAATTGTGACCAGGTCCCAGGTTGCTGATCTGACTTTCTGCTTCATTTACATGCAATTGCAGGGTCTCAATTGTTTCTCTTACCATTGACAACACAACAAACATATATTGTTTCTCACTTTTGATCTTTTTTTTCATTTTTGTATCTATAATTCTTTATTATTAATATTGTTATTATTACAGTTACTGTATTATTATCATTATTTTATTTTTGTTTTATCATAAATTTTATTAATTATGAATTATTATGACTATTATTTATTATTATTATTATTATTATTATTATTATTATTATTATTATTATTATTATTATTATTATTATTACAACATTTTTGCCCCCCAGGCCCCGATGTGGGTCAATGACCTGTGCCCAGGTGGGCTAATACCCGAAAAAAAAAACTTTCGTCAGATGGTTACTAGACGCTTCATACCGATGCTTGTCTGGGTCGTTGTCAAGGATGAGCTTAATTTTCTCCCCCAACTCGATGACTTCCTTCACATTATCATGGCTTGGTCCAGGTAATTCAATGTTTTTTCTGGTGGTAGGGGTCCCGCGGAAGCCATTGTGAGTTGTACGGGGAATAGCGGGCACAAGAGAGAACTGTATACGCGGACTGAGAACAATGAGGCAGGCCCTGCTAGGTCAGCGACTTCTACCCTCTGGTGGCAGGGCACGTCATGTTACCAATCACAGCTAGCGGCGGAGGGAGGTAAGGATGCGTGGCCCAATCACAGTCCGATACGTCATATGACGTCAGCGATAACGTAAGAGCGACCTAATGCACACCACTCACAGCGCCGCTTCCCGCAAATGGTCAAGAATGGACCGCTTGGGTAAAAAAATGGCGCGGCGGTCTGGACCTCTCCAGCCGCTCGCCGCATAAATGACCAAATTTACCGCGTAATTAAAGCATTTTCATTCTGGCAAGGCACCGCGTAAATGGATAAAATGAGTGCATCAAGCATGGAGTGATTTCTCTTCCACCCTCTCCTCCTTCTCTTCTCCTCCACCCCCACTTCTAATTCCCATCGTCATCAGCCAGGAGCCTTCTACATACACACCTCAAAGTAAGTGTACTTTACTGCATTTTTTTTTAATTTGTATGTAATTTTTGGTGAGCTGGAACCAATTACCCAAAATCCCATTGAAACAATGGTTTCGGTTAACAAACCATCTTCTGGAACGAATTGTGTTCGTTAACCGAGGGACCACTGTATTTGTAAAATATTATTTTAAATTTAGAGCATAGTTCTGCATACTGTATACATGTAATAATGCGAGACAAGATTTAAATCACCTAGGATTTGCCTCATGCTGGGACTGTGCATTTACCATTACAACATTGTTGGAACACCCTTCTCTCTCTCCAAGTTGCTGAAGTCCCTTCCAAAAATTCAATAATATAACCAATAACAACTACTATCCATCTCACAGACCACTGGATAGCCATTTGTTGCCATACTAGTTTTATTCCAAAACTTTTTTAAGTACCTGGGATATATAAAGTAAAGATTAGGATAATCAATAACTATTTGAGGATTAAGAATTTGCATATCTTTATAATCATTCAAAGCTTGTGAAAAATACATTCTAATTCTTTAATTGCATATGCTAATGTAGTAATATTGACATAAATCTTACAAAAACTAAATACATTGTAAATAAATAAATAACACTCCACTGTGTGACTACTAATAAGACTCGAAAGTACAAAGTAACAAAGGGAGAAATAATCTGTACAATTATTTTTATTAATATTGCACCTGACTATGTTACAATGTTCTAATATCACATGTGAAAACCTTTTATTATTTTTGGGTATCATTTACACCTGTTTACACTTAACACTGTGCATTACAACTAAATTGGTTAATTTATAAACTTATCTCTCTGCCACGTTTTCCACCACTTCCTACAACCAATTTAATTGGTCGTGGTTACCTTGTTTTCTAAAAAAATTCTTATACAATTCCAAGCAATACTTGTGTAAGAAATAATGAGTGCATATGCTAGGCTTCATATAAAGTTTTTCTGCATCTAATTTTAGGATCAATATTCAATAGATTTTTTAAAATTAGGATATAAAAAATTGCATAACACTCAGGAGAAAGAATTCCATTAAGACCCATGTGAATTCAGCTGACTTTAAAAAGATTTTTTCAATTAGTGCTTAAAGCTAACACGTAAAATCTTTCAAGTTTTAATTGAAGGCAAAGAAATATATATTGTGTGGTATTAAGATTTATGAATCTCTTTGTTAAACGCTAAAACTTTGATTCTTCTTTCGAGAAAGAAATACATGTGTTGGTATGAAGGGATTGAACATACCAGAGGAAATATTCTCTGTGCTTACCCAGAACATACAGTAAAGATGATGATGATAATATGTTAACCCTTATAAATCTGTAATACTGTTACTGAGCCAGTGTTTTGCTGTAGTGAAGACTGATAAATCCACCTGTCCTAGTTAAGTGTAATGGTACATAAAAATCTCCTGGAAGTGTATCCATGAAATGTTGTTTACAAATGGACAAAGACTTTGTTAAACATTATATGGACATAAGACACAGAACTGGTGTATCACAGGCCTCTTGTTACTATTATCAGATGTTCATTATCAAAATAAAAACAATGTTTGTGAAAAATCATGACACTACAGTATATTCTGACCAGACTGATTCCCTTCTTTCATGACTATTGGATATATATATATATATATATATATATATATATATATATATATATATATATATATATATATATATATATATATATATATATATATATATATATAAATATATATATATATATATATATATATATATATATATATATAATAAACGAAGTTCCCAAGCGCTTTCGTGTAATTCACATCTTCAAGGGTGAGTACAGACTGTACTCACCCCCCTGAAGATGTGAATTACACGAAAGCGCTTGGGAACTTCGTGTTTTCTTCTTTCCTTGTGGTTATCAGCATATATATATATATATATATATATATATATATATATATATATATATATGTGTGTGTGTTAGAATGAAGTGTATATTACCGGCAAATAGTAAAACAAAATGGTATACTAAAGAATGGGGAAGTGCTCTTAAAAAAGGCCAAACAAGATAATTGATATTCAAAATGTTATATAAGGTTAAAGGTAATTGAAGGGCCAAGATTATGGCTCTTGAACAACCCACAATACTGTAGATGAATAACAATCTTACACTGGATGAAAGAGTCAGTATGACTAAAGCCTTGTGGTTTACCTTCCCACACGAAATGGTGGGTCTTCACAACTCGTTTGAATAAAGCATGTGTGATAAAGTCCCTTGCCCTGAAGATACCAAACCCAATACTCTTACCCTTCATCCATGGTATCCACATTCATGATCATTCATAATAAGCGTATTAACATACTGAGTTAATTTGTAAGTTGACATATACAGTATGATTCTAAATGTTATCAATGCATCACTGAAATAATCTTGACTTCAGGTAGAGTGAAAAAAAAAAAATTGAAGCAGAACTAAAAGAACCATAAAGGATGAAAGTTTATGAAGCACTACAAGCAATATTACATACAGTACACTGTTACAATAACTAGATCAATTAGAAAGCACCATGCAATTCCTTAACAACTGGTGCAGTGAATTAAAAATTATTTTTAAAAAGTTACCGGTGTATGGAGGAACGTACAAGGATTACCCATACATGTTAGGAAATGACAGCACATAAAAAAAAGCATAAATAAAGCAAAACACTAAAACATTTTGGCTTATTTGTAAATGGGTTTCATAATACTGTGAGACTCTTAATTTTACAAAGCTTATGATCACAGATGAAAACTTTTTACAAAGCACAGTAGTATACATTATAAACAGAGGCGAGTTCTTACGTCTTTTGAAGCTGCTTTTGGTAAACACCTGTTCTGAAATTAACTTGTGACATGGGTTTAGTGATGACTGCATTCAGTATCGTACTATAAAATTTTAATACAGTATATCACTACTACTATGCATATCCGTAATTCCTTTTTAATAACCTTTATGCAGTACTGTACAGTGTTCAACTATGAATTTTATTTGTTCAAGAAGTATCTAATAAAAGCTGCTTAAAACATTTGAAACATAATTATAGCAAGCGCTGATCTAGAAAATAATTAAATTCAGTTACAATGAATTCCCCCCAAAAGAATTGTAAAACATGCAGCATCCTTAATAGTGTGCGATGATATATGTATTTCAGCTAGGTTATTTCAACTGATAATTCCAGCAATATTTCTTGCCATTTGAATGCTAAAGAAGCCTTCTGATATAAGGAGAAAGGTCTACCTCCTCCAAGATCTATTTGAGCCAGAATCACCATATGGTCCATTCCTAAAACCACGAAAATCTGATATGTCTCCCATGTCTTCCAGTCCTGCTTTATCATCCTCTCGCTCAGTTTCTTTTTTCTTTTCCTCTTTTTCCTTTTTCAAGCCATACAATGGCATTCCCATAAAGGTTGGTAAGCTATCTCTGTGCTCCTGAAAGAGAGAGAAAAAAATCTGTTTTAAAAAGGATTACAATATAGTATACAATTTCTGAAAAATGTTATCGTAACTGGCACAGAGAACTTATGAATATGAATTTCTGAATAATTTTTCCGTACACCTGTAGAGTACAATACTTTAATGATTGAGGTACAGTAGAAGTCCAAAAATCCGGATGCCAGAAATCCGGACCACCTGAGAACCAGGACTTTTTGAAAACTCTCAAACTTTTTAAATTTAGCGGGCTTTTGTGTGTGTGTGTGTGCGCATGCGTGAGCGCCACAGCTGCACAGCGACAACAAGCGACCACGCGGTCGCCATTTTAAAATGAGCATTCAAACTGTGACAAAGTATGTAATTTTGTGTTCTCCTCTTTCCATTTACCATATATTATAGCATACATATTTACAAGCCCATGATAATGGCTCCTGAAGTAGATAAACTTCGTTGTGTGAAAAGAAAGAAGAACACGTTGAAATTGAGTGACAAACTTGAAATAATTAAGAAACTAGAACGTGGTGTGAGCAATACTGTTCTCATGGAAACGTACAACATCGGAAAGTCTACAATTTACGATATAAAAAGGCAAAGAATAAAATTCTAGAATTCACAGCCTCGTCTGAGCCTTACAATAAAATTGCTGAAATTTGCTTATGAATAAACTATCAAAATTTACCTGTTCACCTCTACTTTATTCCTCCTTAAATTTGAATTTTAAAAGTACTGCCCGAGAATCCGGAAAATCCAAAAATTCGGACCGACCCAATCCCCGAGCAGTCCTGATTTTCGGACTTCTACTGTAACAGTAAAGTTGCCTTGTTAAATATTTTTATTTTTATTGAGATACAGTTTAATAAATATTGGATATTCCTAAGATGCCTAAAGGTCCTATAAACATACTGTATAATGAAACCCCACATTTAAAAATCACTAATTTAAATTTAGGATATATTATGCATATTCACAAAGATCAAAATTCTATGTAACCCTCTGATAATTCAACTTTTCATAAAATTAGGCCAACTTGTCTGATATCTCCCATCTGCTAAATCCATTCATGCATACAGAGAGTGGATGCCTAATCAGAGCTTAGACTCTGCGTAGTGAAGTGATGCACATGAAATCTTAACGATGTTTTGTTCAAGACAAATGATAAAGGAGATATGGTAAAGATAATTTTATACATAAAAATCAAGAAGATTCCCTTTCTGCCTTTCCAAGTTGTACATTGTAGATGAACCAAAATCGTACATTTAGCAAAGAATGTAAACAGAAACATCATCACCCAACTTTTTCAGCAGCTCTACTTTATTTTAGTCAATGTGTATCTTTTCTTCTTGGGAGAACTAGAGCCAGAAGTATTTAATAGTCACTTATAAGACATTACTGGTACAGTATGTACTGTGAATTGAGGGTAAACAAACTTGGGGCCAATCAGACAACTACTTCGGTATGAGGCAGTTGCCAGATAATGCTTTTTTTTCATATCAGTGTTGTTATTGGGAGTTGCCAGTCGATGGAGTGCCAGATAGGAGAGGGTCAACCTTTAGTGATTCCTTTACCAAACATGCATACACTAATATAATTTTCCAGTGATGTTAACATCAAATTCTGTTGTACAGATACACAAGGAGCTACATGTAAATTCTTCTTTAGTTTGGATTTTTTTATTTGATAATCCCCTCCCCTGTACTGTATACAGAAAGTTTTAATTGTATTTCAAGTTTTGTTTGCAGTTTCATTCTGATCATAAATGTCCTAAAAATCCAGAAATACTCTCTGTGCTGGAAATCATGCAATGATGATAAATTATGTTAATTCATTTTATAAGTAAGCATCATCTTCACCTTTTAGCTCTAAGGAGGTTCCTGAGGTTGATAAAGACTCAGCAGGGTGTCTCCATTGTCAAAAAGGGGCTACAACAAAGTATTTCTGTGCCACATTCATATGTACTGTTTTTAAAGTCTAATGGAAGTGCAGGACATATTATATTTTAGCAATTGTGTAATACAGTGTACAGTATAGTCTGCATTTACGCGGCTTTTGTTTACGCGTTTGGTCATTTACGCGGTGTCTTGCCAGAATGAAAATGCTTTAATGACGCGGTAAATTTGGTCATTTATGCGGCGAGCGGCTGGAAAGGTCCAGACCGCCGCGCCATTTTTTACCCACGCGGTCCATTCTTGACCGTACGCGGGAAGCGGCGCGGTGAGTGGTGCACATTCGGCAGCTCTTACGTTATCGCTGATGTCATATGATGTATCGGACTGTGATTGGGCCACGCATCCTTACCTCCCTCCGCCGCTAGCTGTGATTGGTCTAATGTAACATGATGTGCCCTGCCACCAGAGGGTAGAAGTCGCTGACCTAGCAGGGCCTGTCTCATTGTTCTCGGTCCGCGTATACAGTTCTCTCTTGTGCCCGCTATTCCCCTCACAACTCACAATGGCTTCCGCGGGATTCCTACCACCAGAGAAAAACAATGAATTACCTGGACCAAGCCATGATAATGTGAAGGAAATCATCGAGTTGGGGGAGAAAATTAAGCTCATCCTTGACAACGACCCAGACAAGCATCGGTATGAAGCATCTAATAACCATCTGACGAAAGTTATGGAGCCGTATATCCAGATCTATCTCGACAACAACAATGCTAGTCGTGAACGTAGTATTGAGGACTTCCTCGCCCGCAACCCACCACAACCACAGCCAGCCCAAGTCAGTGATAGTGATATTGACAGTGAGGATATGGACTTTGAGGGGTTTGTCTGGGAGGCCCTGCAAACCTCTGCGAGTAGTGAAAGTGATTCACCGGAGGGCAATTAATCTGCCCTCTGCCTCGGTACCAGCCGCCATCCACGTGTGCCGACCCAGCTTTTCTACTAATGTAAGTGTTAAAAAACCTAATATTATTGATATTTCTCTTAATTATTAATTGTGTGTGCATACCATCATAAAATTAAGATGTTATTTTTACTACAACGTATGTATTGTGTCGGAAAAAGTGGAGTTTGGGGGTCGGCCCAGTCTCTATTTCAATTAATCCCATATGTTCTGTTATTTCATTTACATGTTTCTCGTTTTACGCGGGCCTCCACGGGTTCAATTGACCGCGTAAATGCAGACTATACTGTATACTTTTCAAGAATTAAGAATAAAAAAGTCTTGGTCTAAAATTTATGAGGAGAGGTGCAACTTAGACTATTACATGTAACCTGTATTCCTCAAAAATAAACACAATAACCATAATAGTTACCACTCATCAACGACTTACCTTGCAGATTGAAGTACGCCTTCGAAGGGGAACTTCTTTAGCCTTCTCTTTTAAATTCTGATACTGGAAAACCCCCAAGCCAGGCAAACCAGGTGATGCATCAGCTTTGAACCACACTCTATAAATTGTAAGTGTTTAAAAATTCATTTGTATAGTGAGTATACAAGTTGAGGACATGTGTTAGAATGCACAAATATTTTCACTTGTTTCTACAGTAAACACCTTATATTAACGGACTAATTTGGGGAAGGCAGATCCGTTAAAGCCAAAAGTCTGTTATATCCAGATCCGGAATAATAACAGACTCGGTCTATTATATACCTGCATAGTCCAATGTGACTACGTGGATCACTTTTCACCACCAACACTCACCATCACCACTAACATTAACTATCACCACCAACATTCATCATCACCACCAACACTCACCATCATCACCAACACTCACCACCACCACTCACCACCACCACCAACACTCACCATCACCACCAACATTCCCCATCACCACTCACCCCTAACACTCACCACCACCACCAACAACACTCACTCCTACCACTTACAAATAACCAGTGGTCCAGTACCATACATGTTACTAGAGTGTAGAGCCACTAGACTTTGTTTATTCTGCTAGTCAGCAGGCCGCCACTCCGTCGCCCCAATTTGAATGCTTTTAGGCATGAGCAAGTAATTACAGATATTTCTACTTGTTTTAACCCTTTCCTATCACTGTTTACACATGCTTTGCATTACTCATCCCCTTCTTTGACATATACCCGAGTCAACCCACACAAAAGGGAGTGGGGTGTAAAGACAACAAATTAATTGATAAATCCTGATTCATCAAATAATGAAAAAAAGTAAAGTTACAGAATAAAATCTACATCCCATAATGAAAGATGGTTTTACAGAGGGTCCCCTGGTTACGAACGAGTTCTGTTCCTGAGGATGTTCTTAAGTCGGAAATGTACATAAGTCGGAACACATACCCTATGTGCACTATATCAAAGCCTAAGTCCTTTTATACATTTAAGAGAAAAGAAGAAATTGAATGACAAAATACAGTAGAAAGTAAAAATTAAAGTTTAACACTTACACTGAAACCTGGGGGTGGCTTGCATGTAGAGATCTTCAGTCAATATCACTAATAATTTTTCCATTTCAATTAACAATCCATTTCTTTGTTTTGTTATCACAGTTGGGTACATTGGTGTAGATCCTTTACATGTTCAAGAATTTTGTTTGTTTTCAAAATTGTTCTGATCATTGACCGACTGAAGCCCAATGCTTTACCGATAACTGAGGGTGTCTCGCCTTTTTCAGAACGTTTAATTATATCAACTTTCACTTCCATTGTAATTGTTTTCCTTTTCTTGGATGCAATACTATCACTTGTATCAAGTTTGCATTTGGGAGCCATGATGGGGGCAGAAAATAGAGTTAATAAGCAAAAAACAACAGTTTGCACTTGATCACACACATTACTGAGGTGAGGGTAAAGGCGGTGGTACACTGGGCACTTTTCTTCAAACATGCTGCCCGTTTTGGTGGCCATTGGCCTGATAACCCAGCAAGCAGCAGGATTTTTGCTGTTGTGAGAAATGAACAACGGTTTGGCGGGATCTTTGCTGGCCAGATTAGTGCTCAAATGAGCTTCATATCATTTCAATTAAAATTTGAAATAAATCATGAAAAAATAATAATTTAAAATATAACACATAAACGATGACATATTTCTATTTACTTGCCACTTTAAAACTTCTTTAGTATTTTAAAATCATTATTCAGGGTCTTCTTTGACCAGCCAGCCACCGCCACTTTTAAAGAAACTTCGCGACGCACCCATTGTTTTTTCTTTAGCTTTTGCAGACACTCCACTTGCTTCAGCAATTGAAGAACTATAGCTTAATCTTGCAAGGTCTCAAATGGAGTAATGGGATCTTTGGTGAACCTCATCTTGACACTTTGTTGCTGATTTTGTTGTTGGGCAGATGTATTAACAAAACATTCCAGTGTGATGCAAAATGTCTCTTTTGTTCTGCTGGCCGGACTGTGTTTGCCAAACATGTTTGGAGGAAAGTGCCCAGTGAGCTGCCGCCTTAATGCGTTCTGACGCTCCCTCAAGGTGCGTGGCCAGGTGACACATTACTCCCCACCCACCACTCTTGCCTCACTGCTACGCCACACAAACCAAGTTCTCATATGTTAATAACACGAACCAGTTGTACTTATGTCGGATTCTTAAAATACAGTGATATCTCCGTTAGTCGGAACAATTGATGCAGAGCACTTCCGGGAATGAGAGATTTCCGGGTAACGAGACAACTCTCTCGAAGCCGGAAAAAATCCCTCATCCCAAGAATTTTCCGGAATTATCTAGGTAACGGAAAAATGCTCTCGAAAGTTCCAGAAATTGCCCATTTACATCATCTTTTGAACCCGGAAAAAAATCCCTCATCCCCGGAATTTTCCGGGTAACAAAAATTTTCTAGGAATTTCTAGAAAATGTGCCTGATTTTCATCTCTCAAACACGGAAAAACTCCCCAATCCTCGGAATTTTCCAGAAAATGTGCCCCTAGGAAAATCGTTTCCAAAGCTGGAATTTTCTAGAAAATTTCGGCTTTGGGAATGATTTTTCAAGAAAATTTCAATTCCGGCTATCAGAGATTTCCGGGTTTGAGGGATTCTGGCTAACGGAGATATTGCTGTACAGGCAGTCCCTGACTTACGACAGGGTTAGGGACCCAAATCCAAGTCTTAAGTCGAAAATGCTAAAATAATTCATAGAAAATCTAAAATGGGTGTCTCTTTTTCTTCTCAGCACCACAAAACTCTCACTTTTAAGCTTGCCAGCCATTTTAAAGGGCATTACTAACGAAAATTTTGTCAGTACACAGAGCAATCACTAACGTCGGGACTCAAAATATGTAATTTGAAAAATTTTTTGGTACGACTGGGGCGGACGTATGTTCGGGTGGTTATAAGTCGAGTAGGTCGTAAGTCGAGGAGTACCTGTAATTGACTTTATGGGACCTTGTTCATATCGGCGGGTGTTCGTAAGTCGGACATTAGTAAGTCCTTGTACTTAAAAAAAAAGAGAGAGAGAGATCAATCTTATCTCTTAAGAGAAGTACTATACTGTACACACAACAGCACTATGAGTGTAAAGTGTAGAAATTCTTTACCCCCAAAACACACTTGACATACATGGTTAAGTCTGAAACTTACTTGTATGTTAGGAACCATGTTGCTATGGCAATGGCACTCCCAGCAACCTTCTGTGGCATGGTGTGGAAGAATATGATTGTGCATGTCAACATCACATCACTAAACACACTCAAGATTGTCATGATGCAAAAAATGGCCCGGATGTATGGCGTGAATTGTTCATAGTTCATCTGAAAAGACCCACAAAAACAAAACAGTACAGTACAGTATATATGATAATTTACTGACATTTAAGCAAAAGTTGTAATAAAGGAGAAAAAGGAAAAATAGGTTTGCAATGAAAATAAAATCTAGATAACTACAGTATAGTATTTCTAATTTTCTTGGAAGTCAGAGTTAATTTCTCCAAAGTAAAAGTACAGTAGTAAACTCAGCGAATAATATACCGTAATTGTTATGACAGCATTAAGCATGAAGTCTTTTAAGTCTAGGCAAGATCACATACATTGAAAAGCCTGTACAAGCCCCCTGAGTCTCAATTTTTACAAATCCAACAGGTAATTGATATAAATAAACTAAAAATTCAGCTATGTTGAGATGAAATGTGGGTATGACAACTCACACACACATGAACCACTAATAATGATCACTAAATATAAGCATTAAATACTTTTCCTGACTGTTAAGTTTAATATATAACACTGTTGCACCTAACAGGAATCACCAGTCTTCATAAACTAGGTACGTGCAGATAAACAATCTTAAACTGGGGCCAGAGAATACTTGGTTTGTTCAGCTAGAAAACAAAGCAAAAAAGAAGGATTGACCATGAAATCCCATTTCATTGCTATGCTTGGAATTAAGCACCTCAAGGACAATATACCCATTAAGTCATTGGTCTGAGAACCAGGAAACCTGATATAGTGACTGGTACTAATTTAAGATGGGTAAACCTCAGACTGTGTAGATCAGCAATGCCTGACAGCCCAGAGTAGGGCCCAGACAAGTGATTTTTCATGTCCATGTACCTGGCACTTACCTGGTGGACAAGTTAATATTTTGAGAGGATAATACCCAGATTGGAATACCCAGGAAATGCATGACCCCACCTCCCCATAGTTGATTAATCATGAGGTCTCTCAACCAGCGAGATGGTGGGAGGTGAGGTGTGTGTGTGTGTGTGTGTGTGTGTATGTGTATGTGCTGACACTACAGTATATCGTGACATCACACCTGAGATGACCCCTGACTATTCTGTTTCTACAAGCCCAGGTGCATGCTACAACTTCAGTGATGTTATAGCTGATGCTTCCTGTTGCTGTTGGTCTATTCTTACAACGACTTGACATTAAAATCTGCATAAAATTGATCTGTAAGTCGATTGACCATAAATTTTAATGTTTAAAATGTTTATTTAATTTTTTTTCATACAAAACTAGACAAGCAAATTTGCTCCAAAATTTGTCAGAGCAAGTAAATTTCAAAAGTCACTTGCCCAGGACAAATAAATATTCCACATAATCTGCTGAGCCTGTTAAACCGCCTGTATTGCAACTACTGTCCTATTGCAAAGATTTTTCCCTCAGACAGTTGAGGGAGGTGGCAAAAAGTTTCTGAGCATCTTAACTTTCTTCTTGATCAACCATATTTGTCTTCCAAGCTTCAATTACATTCACATGTGGTGAGTCATACTTCATATTTGGAACAGGCCAATTAGTAAAATTGGTCACAGTGAATAATCCAGCCTAGTATCAACTAATGAATATTCCCTGTATGGATCCTCTAAGTTTTTATATTGTGACAGAAAGGAGCATCTAGTACAAGTTGAAGTACCCTAATCTTGATTTCCATGAACAAGAAATAATGAATAAAGATTATGCGCTAGTTTTGTCAGAAAATCAGGTGCAGTATTCCGAAAAAATGTAATTAATAAAATCTTTACTGATACACTTTGAGTGTAATAAAACATCATTATCATCAGTGTTTTACAGTCATTATTCCAATCTTGCTGTTGGGTAAAACCAGAATGGAATGTCACTCATCACCACAAACCCAAGTTGCCAGTCCAAAAAGATGCAATGGAGACCAGGAGATGGGCACAGCTTTCGTGACCTTACACATTAGACACCTTGATGCAAAGTTTTATTGTTGGATCCCCTTCCTAATGCCAACCCACAGGTCGAGAACAGCTGGCAAGACTGGGCCACAAATCTCTGAGGAAAGCAAAAACTACCCACCTCAAATTATATACTGTATACAGTACTGCACTGTATTACAGGGTATTGTGCCAGAGTAAAGGAACAGATTAAAGACATCTTTAAAAGAAAATATTATACTGTACTGTACCTCTTATGTCAAGTTTTTATCGATTTTGAACAAACCATCAAATCATAGGTTGCGTTACTCACTATAAAATCAATTGATGCCTTGATACATTGTGGGTGTTGTAGCTACCCAGTTGGCTCATCATATGTACCCAAAATAGATTGTTAACAAACTGTAACCTTGTAATGTGAAATAAATAAACTTTAGTTAAATATTAACATCGCACTGTCTGACTCAGCTAAAGCACCTTAAATAGTTAACAAATCAGAAACAAAGCACTTATGACCAAAGTATGTAGAACCAACTGTTCAGTGGAAGATATGGCTGGGAATGAATGGAGACTGAAGCCTCTAAGACTGGTATCATATGGCCTCAAAAAAAAAAAAAAAAGGTGAGGTGTGCAGTAGCCTCTGTGACTTCATGTGCCAGTCCAACTTCATCCCTCTACTGTGTGTGAGAGAAAAGCCTCTGCTTCTTAATATCCAATATTTTTGGACTCAAGTTGCTACAGGGGAGGATTATTAATCATTTGGATGGAGGTTTACTAATCATGTAGGCAGGGGTTTACTAATCATTTAGATAGGAGAGGGTCACTAAAGTCATTTAGACTGGGAAAATTTACTAATTATTTAGATTAGTCCCAGCCTTTATATCAGGTCTTGTGGGTCTTAAACTAGAAGCTTAAGGAGTGCATTACACTCAGGCTGCCCAATGAAAGGTGGCTGGTCATAAAAATCCAACTTTCATAAGAATATTGATAATTTAATAGAAAATTAAATACTGTACCTTTAGTACACACATCTCATCCCCAGTGAGACCCTCCAGGGGTGTTTTATTTTCATTGGGATCACTTTGACTTTCCCCTCGATTGTGGTCCTCTATTCGTATCTGGTCTCGTATGCCTTCCCATCCTACAATTGCCTTGGCTTCTTCCACGATAAACAAGTTGATGTACACAAGCAGGAAAGCATGTCCTGAAAATATATCAATCAGTTACATGTAAGTTTCAAATAAACTGTAATGTCCAGGACAGTACTGTACAGTACTGTAATAATCTTGCAAAGATTAAATGTTAAATTTTTTATTAATGAATAATGATTCCAAATCTAAATTTTTTAAAAATTTATTTAATGTAATTTAAGTTATCATTTCACAACTTATCAGCTGACAAGCCATTTGGATGGCATTGTGCTTTTAACAGAAAACCTGGAAATGACATCAAATATTAATACCTGTAGCTATTTAGCAAAAATTTTATTTTTAACCAAGACTTATCACCCTCTGGGTTTTTATATGCCATATGAAATTTTTTTTAGCACAAAAAATAGTTTTTCGAAGAAACCGACTTTTTTTTAGTCGCGTAGGGTTTTAACATGTGGAAAATCGAAAAAATTTTCTCGGTCCCTCATACGCTCTTGGCAGCTTGTTGCTGACTCTAAGTACAAATGTACTCAGCAAGTCACCGAGCAGCTGGTGTTGCCGGGAGCTCTCATATGTTTGGCAGCAGACATGCCCCCGTGTCATATAGATTTAAATATACGGTATACCGGTATGTATATATATACAGTACAGTATATATATATACAGTATACAGGGTGAGCATAAAGTCTTAACCTGATTATGAAAAATCATATCTCGAAGACCATTCTAGATAGAAACATGAATGTTGTAGCATTGTGTAGACGAATTCAGAGATATTTTTTCATGCATATTTTAAGCTGCAAAAAAACTGTATGTTTGTACCTAGCATATGTTTTGTGTAATAAATGTTTGTAATCAGGGAAAGACTTTATGCTCACTCTATATATATATATATATATATATATATATATATATATATATATATATATATATATATATATATATATATATATATATATATATATATATATATATTATTTAGATAAACTATTCTGGATTATTTTGGTATAAAAAGGGTGTTTTTAGCTTAATTAGAACTGATTTTATAGACACCAATATAAACATTTCTTAAATTTTTTCATAAAATTGAATTTCCATCATTTATCATATAGAAATATTTTGTGAAAGGATTTTTTATAATCTTATAGAAAATTTATTCAGAATCATTGTGGTACCAAATTCATCTTTCTAACACAATTAGGACAGATGCTGTGGATAAAGGTTTATACTGTACACCTTTTCTGTAGCCATTAATATTTTCGCTTGTGGTTGCGACCTAATATAATGGGAGTGATAAGAGAATCGTACAAAGCGGTAGCCTCTGCTTATGCTGGGGACACATGTCTCCAGTGCTGGACCTCAGTCCACTTTGCAAGGGGATCTGGATTAAGTGAGTCCAGGTTAGAGGGACTTTACTGTAATTTAATGATTTACACTACATGTCTAGTCTTAAACACCTGTCATTTCCATTATGTGGTCTCACTGGTAGGCTTGCCTTGTTATGCAGTCTATAATTTCCAAATGGACATAGGAATTTTATATAATTTCTTTTATAGTGGGGTGTTGGTGGTAAAGCAGTAATGCATGTACTTCTGACTACAGTACTGTGTTCTGGGCTTAATCCCCAACCTAGGGCAGATGTGAAAATGGTGTTATCCAGTGTGACTTAACGAAATATTGCAGGTTTTCTCCAGGTACATGTACTGTACTCTAGTTTCCTTCTGTACTAATACTGGGCTAAAAAGTGGTGACTGATTCAATCTGTCCTCTGGAAACTTATCAGTACCCTTGTGAGATACTGTATGAATAGGCAAATTAGCCTGCACCTCTGTTTACAAATTGTCATGTTTTACTTCACATTCCTTCAGCAGTTTTTTGTATGTTACGTTAGTTTTGAATGATAAATTCAGTAGGAAATTTTTACCTTCATTCCCCCATTTGCTTACATTAAGTTTGAAGTTTCTATTTTCTATGGAGGGAAAACAAGTGAGTCCTATGGACCTAAGTATCATCTTAATAACACTGTAGTTAGGTGTTGAGGCCAAATTAAACCTGTCTCAAATTGTATAAAAAATCACTTTTCACTTTAAGTTAAGGCCAAAAGACCTTTAAAATTTACACAAAAATAAAATTTTCCCCATGCCCTTGCCTATATGACCTCAATGTTCCAACCAATTAAAACAAATCATCACAAACCCTGATTTTAACAGGATTGAACCAGAGCCTAAACTTGAATATTAATGACTGCAGCAGTATTCAGTGGTCCATTCCTACTAAAAACCATAACTTAGTGATAATTTATTTTGGTCAATTGATGGTAATAGCCAGGTTTCGATTTTTCCAATAAAACTGTAATTTCGGACAATACGCCCTAGTAGTTGAGCGATGTGTTTTTACGATGGTTTAGACAATTTTAAGACACTTTTCTTCTATGACGTTTCTATCTCAAATGACCTACAATTAACTAACCTAACCTAACCGGGGGGCTCCGCCCCCTGGATCCCCCAGTATATTTAAGTAATTTGCGAGGGAAATGTCATAGAAGAAAAGTGTCTTAAAATTGTCTAAACCATCAGAAAACACATTGCTCAACTTGAGATCCATATTGTCCAGAACTGCAATTATACCATTTTTCCTATGGTTCTTGCTGTGATTTGAACAAATCTGACCTTCGTTCTGGTGATAACCACCTTAACCTAACCTAACCTTTTGAAACCTGGCTACAATCATGAATTGATCTTTATTTTAATTCTAATTCAACAGAGATATTTTTCATGTATATTAATTTTTCAAAACCTTTCGGTAAGAAACACTTTTCCTTCTATAGCTCCTGTACAACTTCTTTAAGAGTTGTAATTTTGTTGTAAAAGCTCTCTGAAACCTTACCTAAATATCCTAATGAATTGGAAATCTACATACTGGGTATGGTATGTCAATATGCCAAATCTTAACCTAACTTTGATAATCTCCTGCAAAAGCAAACTATATACTTTTCTTATACTGATGTATTAAAACTAATATTTACCTGAAATATCAAAGGAATGCCAGTGGAAACCTCCAGTGTTACAGTCCAACTTATTCCTTATTATTGCTCTCCCAAGGCATGCGCCTGTTCGATTTTCAATGAAGCCAAAGAAGCATTGGCTCCAAAAGTACCACAGACATGTACCAACGACTAATCTAGACATGTGTCTTCGGATGACTTCTCGATGGCCACAGCCAATTGTGGCACTCGTTAAAAGAATGAAAGCTCCAACCACAAGGATCATCCAAGCCCAAGCTACTTTTACAAAATATAAATTAAAAATGTTATCTTTTTGAGCCATATAAACTTTTGGCAAGGGTAGGAAATCACATATTAATGAACCAAAGAAGAGTCCAATAGAATACAGTGTTATCTTGACTTCAGTTTGGATGAAGAGAACTTTGCGACAGCCATGAACGAGAATTAAACTCAAGACGTGTTGCACAGAGGCTTGTTCAGGCAGGGGCTTGGTGCCTTTGGCTGCCCACCGACCCTTCTCGATTGGCGACTTGGCCGACCTTACAGGTCGTGCCCGTTTTGATGTTATGGAGGCTCCTGAGGGCATCCTGGCGGCCACTTTGACAGTGGAGGACTCACTATCTCTCGCCGAACTACATGAGAATCACAGAATCATTGACACACTCTTGAGTCTCACCGACCACAGGAAACTTAGCCAAATCTATTTCGGGCCAAGCTTTGTGGATTCATCCTGAGGCGTAGCAAGAAGCGCTCAAATCCTGGCAAAGCTTTCCCGGAGATGTCACTTGATGGTAACACTGTTTATACTAAATACGTAACGTAAATAAAGTGTATTGATAATTTTAACATGTTTTATGTTGACATAAGTTAATTAATTTCATCTCCTTTACACGCGTCACACGGCGTCGTCTGCACCCCTCGCTGCAGACGACAAATACAAACTAAAATACCACTTTTTATTTATTATTACATTGCATGCGCTTGGCATTTTAATGATAAACTATATATTTTGGAAATAGTACTCTGCATATACTTCTTCACAAATATTAAATATTTAGCTTTGTGTAGTAATGCCGCGAAATTTGAAATGTAATCGGGTTTGACGCGTCAAATCACCAAAAAAATTATTTTTACTTTTATTTTGGACAGTGACCCTAGTCCTGTATATACAACTCTCCATCTGCATCTCTGACAGTAGTCAAAGTTATAAATGACGGGAAAGTAGTTTCACAACTTACGTTCAAGGCTTTTCTCGTAGGTCAATTTGTTAGAAAATTTGCCATATGCTTTGGCAAACTAACACAAATTCACAGCGATTACACACACACGCACACACAATGGCTTTGTCGGCTATCCATGGTAAAATTGCCTTACTGTTTACATTTGTTATATATTTGCACTGTTCTAAGATTATTCTAGATACTACAGTACTTTGGAAACTTTATACATCCACGATCTATGAATAGTAACGCCGCATATCTGTACAATATTGTCTAAAGTTATACCATGCTAAACCGTATACCTGCAGTCTACAGTATATACATTCCAAACCGAGTATAGACTTGTATGGTGATTGGATCTTTTACGTTTGGGGTCTAGTAGCGGATTTTAATGAAAATCGTTTAACTAGTGCAGTTTTTTTACGCTGACCCCAAAAACCTAGCCTAACCTATTCTTATCTAACCAAACCCTACCTTTTCCATTTACTGTATTCCCCCAGGTTTGCGCCGCTGCGATGATCCACTATACAGTGACGATTGGTGGAGACAACATTGCCTAAATACGCTGTAGCGTTTTTGTTTTTTATTTATCCAGAAATTGTAAGTTATTTTTGGAATCAGAGTTAAAAACTGTACTAATGTACCGATTTTCATTAACATAATTTTACTTTTCTTCTCTTCACCACTGATCGGCTCGTTAGCCGTTTGGGCGATCGGTCACGTCTCTGTTACGCACTGTTGGCAAGCACTGGGCTTGTACTGGCTTCTGAATGTATCTGAACCTGCTCCAGTGCTTGTCAAGTCTGGTCTTGAAAGAGCTCACACTCGGTGCCGTCACAACACCCTCTGGGAGATTGTTCCAAGAGTTCACAACTCTCACTTCGAAAAAGTTACCTCTCAGTTTTCTGGACTTGCGGCTTCTTCAACTTTGAGCTGTGACCCCTTGTGGGTGAGCGTCCGCCAGCTCCAGGTAAGGACACTCGACTGAGTAGTGCCCTTTGAGTTGTTTATGCACCTCAATTAGGTTGTCCCTTGCCCACCTGTAGTACTCGTATAAGCTAGGCAATTTCAGGCGCTCTAATCTCTCAGGGTAGCTGAGATGCCCAGGGGCTGGCACCAGCCTGGTGGCCCTCCTTTGGACATTTTCAATCAACTGGCTGTCCCAAGCATATCTCGGGGACCAGACGGGGTGACAGTACTCTAGACGGAGAACCACCTCACCCTTGAAGATCGTTACGAGGAACGGTCTAGATATCTGAACGACTTTCTTATACGACCTAATAATTTAGTTGCCTGATTCACCTTCTTCTCACAACGGCATGAGAACTTCAGTTCATAGTCAACATACACTCCCAGGTCCTTTTCACATTGTCTCAATTAATGAAGTTTCTTCGTCCCGTTGGGACATGTGATACGCCTCCTTGTCGTTGGTACGTCCCAGGTGCAGCCTCTTACACTTCGTGACATTGAATCTTAGCAGCCATTTCTTCGACCATTCTTGAAGCTCACAGAGATCCTTCTGCAGCTCTTCTTAATCTTCTTGGTTCTTAATTTCCTGAAATAACATGGCATTATCCGCAAACATTTGTATAGAGGAATGTACAGCTTCTGGCATGTCATTTATGAAGCAAACAAACAACAGCTGGCCCATTACACTGTTGTGGTACCCCGCTTGTGACGGGTACACATGACGATTCTGTGCCATTAATCACCACACACTGCTTGCGACCATGCAGAAAGTCTCTGATCCACGCTAGGACATTTCCAGTTTAATTTTCTGCCTTTCAGGGGTGCGCTGTCGAAAGCCTTGGCAAAATCTAGGAATATATTATCCATATCACCACTCTGTTCCACAATTTGGGTCTAAACATCCAGTACATTGAGTAACTGTGTTAGGCAGGAGCGTCCCAACATAAAACCGTGTTGGCAATCCTTTACAAGGTTGTTTCGTCGTAGATGTTCCATCATAGCATCTCTTATAATGCTTTCAAGCACTTTATATACTATGCTGGTCAGGCTCACTGGTCTATGGTTATTCGTGGAGTGATAATCGCCCTTCTTGAAGATAGGACTCACATAAGCCATTTTACAATCACTGGGGACCTTTTGCTCATCCAGGCATTTACAGAAACGGATTTTCAGGGGTTCAGCAAGCTCGTTGCACAACTCTCTTGGCACTCTGGGATGCACCATGTCAGGACCGGGACTCCTATGAACCTTTAGCTTTGACAATTTATTTCGTATAACCTCTTCTGTGAACACAATATGGGTCAGTGCTGTGTCGAACCGTCTGTCCTCAAACGCAGGAAGACTGTTTGCATCCTCTCTTGTGAACACTGAAGAAAATAAATTATCCAATGCCTCCGCTTTCTCCTGGTCAGAATCTGCGTAACTACCATTTTCAAGCCTCTGGTCCGATACCCCTACTCGCGTTTTTACTTTCGACTTTGCAAAGCGGTAAAATGTCGTTGGATATGACTTGACCTCGCTTGCAACCAGCCTCTGGAACTCCCTTTCAGCACTTCTACACTCTAACTTCGCTTGGTTCCTGGATCTTGCATACATCCTCCTGTCCTGCTCATCGTTTGACCTAACCCACCCCTTGAATTTTTGGGTTTTCTTCTTAACTTTGTCGACCGCCGCTTGGTTCATGTGTAATGGTCTCCTTGTATTCCTAGAGTTACTGGGTTTGGTCTTGGGTATATATCTCTCGATCAATTGGTTCACTTTACCGGCTATGATATTCAGCGTAGTGTCCTGGTTTTGTCATGAACCAAGTAACAGTTAAATCTGAAGGACAACATTGCATGGTGGTTGGTGCCAACGTGGACAGGGCAGGGCAGAGTAGTGAGGTGTGGTGGACAGGATAAGGCAGAGTAGTGAGGTGTGGTGGACAGGACAGGGCAGATTAGTGAGGTGTGGTGGACAGGGCAGGGCAGAGTAGTGAGGTGTGGTGGACAGGGCAGGGCAGAGTAGTGAGGTGTGGTGGGCAGGGCAGGGCAGAGTAGTGAGGTGTGGTGGACAGGACAGGACAGATTAGTGAGGTGTGGTGGGCAGGGCAGGGCAGGGTGGTGAGTGACATTAGCTACTGTACATGTATACTGGCTTGAATTGGTTTGCGATCAGATATAAGATCGGTGACTACGTCAAAGCTATGCGTTGTGTATGATAGATTAAATCCAACCCACTTGTCTAGAGCCCCCCATAGATTTGTGTTGGTTCACTAATATCAATAATTTGAACATTCTCAAATGCGACGAGAAGTGAGGTAAATCTCCTACCATTGGTGTTAGTGGTGGGGTCACCTAATTTCTTGTGTCTAGTATTCAGGTCACCAATCAGGGCAGCGGGTTAGTGTGTACCAAGTCTGAGAGACCTGTACAGTACACTTAAGTTGATCTGAGGGGACATAGGCGTTTAGCACGTTGAGTGTGGAGTTATCCAGATGGATAGTTGCACCATGATATTGAAAGTTGGTAGTCTTGTTTGATAAAGGAGGTACATGTGGTAGATATTCCTTTACCTACATTAGACTGGGTGGGGGCTTATCATTAGGAGTGAGGCACTCCTGCAGACATGCATGAGGCAATATCGATGTCCTCAGTCACAATACAATATTGTGGTGGTGGAGGTCAGGATATCGTTGTTTGAAGGCTGAGATGTTCCAACTTATCACCGTCACCTCTTTATATGTTTGTCTGGTATTAACTCTGGCCTGGTATTAAAACTGGCCATTATGCACAATACTTGGAAAGGAGTTGAAAACACTTTAAGATAGTAACTTTATCTGCGTCGTCTGTCCTTACTTTAGACAGAAGCCCAGACAGAGTGAGGGGTGGTGGACATGGTAGGAGGTGGACAATGATGGTTGGTGGGTAGAGCTGGAAATGGGCAGCGGGCAAGGTAAGGTAGTGAATAAATAGTGGACGGAGCAGGGCCGTGATGGGTAATCGACAGGAAAAAGAGTTGGGCGGGGTCTTCTGGGACCATAGAGGGAGGTGGTGAGCATACTTGGCACCTTGCTTCCTCCTCCCGAATCCGCCACTGCAGTGTATGATTAAAATTTCGTATTTTGATATTTCTTTTTTTTTCATGTTTCCATTCTTTTTATTCTTTTTCAGTATGTCTTTTTTGTGAATGGGGCAGAAACATATCCCTGTATCAGTGGCTCCTGTTGTTATGCGCGTCTGGAGGGGGAGGGGGGGGGGCAGACAAATGCCCCACTTCCCTTTGAATTGCCTAGCGAAAAAAGTTTGTTTCTATTTCATTATACTGTAGATAAACACTTAGTTACCCCATCTGGAGTATATAAAACAGAACATTTGAAATGTTCTTTGAGATAAATATACGTGATGATTTTCTTGAGTAACAAATTTTTACTTCTATCTTGTCAACTGTCCCCCATCTGAAATGCATACTGCGGTCGCCCATTGAGTTATAATTAGGAAATAAGAATTAGTTTTGATTGATAACATTTATAATTAGGCTTCTCATGTATGTTTTTACATAATACATTAGAATAGTTTTTTTTACATGACTCATCATAGTCAATCCGTTTATAGTGTACTTTAAGTTTAAGCATTTCTGGAAACCCCACGTAAAGACAGTGGGCTTCCTTTTATACATTTTAAGTTTAACACTGACGCTTGTTTGTCTGAGTTAGGTTTTATCAAGTTTAAAACCACGGTTTTGAAAATT